AAGATATTCTTAAGTGTAGTATTGAAATAAAATGTATCTATGATGATGAATGTAAAAGTAAAATAATGTATGAATAAAAAGAAAATGAGATTAATTAAGTCAATTATAAAATTCTTCTTACATAATAGATTAAAACAAGAACAAAACTTAATATCTATAGAAAATGACTCAAAATAAAGATTGTCGAATAAATTTATAATTTGTTGATTATATAATATATTTCCTATTTTAAAAGAAAATTGTTGAACGAAAAAAATAAATAATTAAAAAGAAGATTTCACATATTAATATAGAAGAATTAAGTAACTGAGAATAAGATTAGTCTACTATTTTATGTTTATGTTATTCGATTTTATTAAGAATTTTATCAAATACATTCAAGTCAAGATTTATCTCAATTACACGAAATTTTTATTTATCTAAATATAAAATAGATTTTCGTTAAGTAAACTATTTCTAGTTGAGAAATGTTTTTGTTTTTACATATATAACTAAAATATGTGATGAATCTGTTTCTATCTATAGATAAAGATCTCAAAGAAAGAATAATATATAAAATATGATTTTTATTTTCATTTTTGATTTTGTTCAAGTATCTTATAAGATGAATACCATTGAAATTATGTTTTATTTCATGACGAAATTATTCAAGTCGATTGAACATCAATTCAACTAATATAAACTTCAAGATCTCAATTTAATATAAAATATTATTTGTTAAAATATTTTTTTTTCTAACTAATATCAAATATAACATTGATTTATTTTGTCTTTATATAATCAACATCTATATATATATAAAACTTGTTGATAATAATTAAGAAAAAAATTGATGAAAAATATATTCGAAAATAATCTGCGTGAAAAATCTCTAACTAAGGAAATATTTGACTTTGATAAGAAAGATTTGATCGGAACTTAAAAATTATTTTATTTATTCATGTTATTTAATTGAAAAAACAAAAACAAATGAAATTCAATGTTTTATGTACGTTGTTGATGTCTTAAAAAAGTAGTCATTTGTTGTTCTTCTTCATTAAAATGTTCAGGAGGAAGAGTTGCATCTTCTCTTAAACAGGATTGAGCAGTTAATGAGATTTTTCGTTGATGAAAAAAATAAACGAGATTTGAAATAAGATACAAGAAAATTGACATCAACAAACAAATAATTAAAAGTGTTGGAAAATGTTTTGGATTCCGATCCATAACAAAACCTTGAAAAAATTAAAAAAAAACAAAATTCAATATAAACTATAATCGAATATGATTTTACCAGCTATTTTTTGAAGTGTTATTGCTCCAATTGCTGATCCAGATAAAAGAGAAGCAAGAAGTATTGGTACAACATTTAATCTTTGGTTGAATAATGCAATTGATAAAGGAAATATTGGAGAAAATACTAAACCAGTTACTGATCCAAGTACAAATAAACTTGTTGTTGATAAACCAATAAACCATACAAATATTAACCAAGCAACAGCAAGACAAAATCCTCCAAACCAAACAATATCAAGACATATATTCACTGATAGAAACACAGATAGAATTGCACCAATTAATCTACCAATCTAAATTTACGAAAATAAATATTTTTTTTTCAATATAATTTATTAAATCTATTTTTTCTTTATGAAAAATTAACAGATAAAACAAAAAATATTAACAATAAAACATATTTCATTGAAAGAAAAACTTCCTTTATTATTTATGAATAATTCTTCTAACAAAATAAAATCGATTGTTCACATATATTATTATTAATAATCAATAGAATATGTTAATGAGACAATTTTATAAGTTAAATATATTAACTCTAAAAGATTATTTTATTTCTATAGTATTTTTGTGAGATTATCATTATCATGTTTAATAATCAGGCATCAATACTAATATATTAATTTGTTTTTGACGATAGACAATAAACTAATTGAAATACTTTAGTCAACGGTAGAGTCCGTCGGGTCCGAGTCTGAAGATTTTTATTGGTCAGTTCGGCATTGAAAAAAACTTAGATTCGTATTAGAAATTTTTTTGAAATTTCTTTAAATTCTTGTTCATCTTACTCCAAAAATATTAAATTTACTAGTGGAGGTACCCGGTGTTGCCCGGGAGATTTGTTATTGTATCATTGACATAGTAGAAGATTTAAAAAGGATATCTGCATTGAAAAACAATTTTTATTGTAAAGCAGATTGATACACAATGTTTTTAGTGTTCGCATCAAGCGCAAAGACATACAAATTCTTTCCAGTTCCAACTCTTGAACATGCCACGTAAAGTTGTCCGTGGGAAAAGCAAGGAGTCTCTAGGTTAATGCAGACAACCTTAAGAGACTCTCCTTAAGATTTGTTGATGGACATCGCAAAGGCGAGACGCACTAGAAATTGTAGACTTTTAAATTCAAAAGGCATACCCGTAGGAATGATAGGTATCCGCGGTATAAATACATCTTCTCCTTTGGCATAGTCTGTTAAGATTGTTGCTTCAATAACATGAGGCATTAGACTTTTGACACATAGTCTTGTGCCATTGCATTAGTTTGGAGTTTAAAAAGCTTCTTTGTAAAAATTGACATCGTTTTGAAACATTTTCGTTGAAAACTTGATTAAAAGAATAGTATCGAGCTTAATAGACTTCAGATTCCTAATGTCCTACCTCCGATCATCCAGTGATATTCGTTTTCTCAAAAACTCGATTCCTATTGGTTTTTGGTCAACCAATAGAATTTCGAGGCAAATGGACTCCAGATTCAAGCTCAGCACCCTCAAAAACTCCTAGGTACATGTTTTGTGCTTGCTCACAATCCGCTGCTCAGTAGTTCAATCTCATTGGTCAGATACATAGCGGGGCATGTTGTAGGCGGAGCACCGATGTTTTTTTTGACAAAAAGGGGTGGTTGATCTCCTCCTGGATGAGAGGATGGTCTCTGAAAATTTTCGTTGCATTTACTCGTACGGTGTCCAAATGCATGAAGAACAAACAGACAAACAAACTTTCTGCTTTATATATATAGATCACTAACCATTAATATATGCTAAAATCCAACCGATCAGGAAATAGACCAATCAAGTCTGAGCATACTTCCACACCTTAGAATCTCTGGTGTGAATTGGTGAAAACATCAGATGTTTCTCTCCTTTTGTTCTCGACTTATTGACGAAACAATTGCATGCTCAGACTACTTGCATGGGTCACATACTATGATGCTTCAATAATGAGGTCATCGAATACCCCGGACGTAGAAACTTCCGATCAAAAAGTAGCTTTTGACCCAGGCGCAGCACGAAGAGATAAAAGTAGAAGGAAGATGATCCAAAAGTCTGAGAAAATTCTCTAACACTTTGGAAAAATCAACAAAATTTTCTTTGATTTTTCGAAAACGGATGGGGCCTTCCCTAGTCCCTCGGTCGCGCCGACCCCGTCTCGACCTTTCCCTGGACCTAAGGGTATGCCATGGAAAGTTTGGTGACGCTAGCTCTTACAGGGGCAAAATGCATAAAGAACAGACAAACATTCTTCTATATATATTTTAGATATCATTAATACGTCATCAATTGACTCAGGAAAAAGTACTAACACATCATCATTGTGAGCTGGGAAAAAAACTCATATGCACATTCTTTTCCTTATGGTACATTAGAGAATCTTCGGTTTTCACAACCTGGGTGAACTTTCACTTGACTTTTCCGCGGTCATGCATGGCATTGCAAAAATCAGATTAAATTCTCCAAAATTTCTGAGCAATTAGAAAATTTCCTGCAATTTTTCAAAAGACGAGAGGGGAGG